TTATCCGAAAGTTTCAAGTTGCTGATTTGCTTCGCAGCTGCATGCAGTAGATCTTTTAAAAGGGTATGACATTTAAATTTAACCTTTTTATGCCATTGTGTAAGAGTGGACTTCTGAAAATGGAGGGGAAAAAAGTCCCTCTTCATTGGTATGCGTTCAAGTTCAAGATATAAAAATGTAGCTGTATCTTAATAGGGTGCTTTAAAGAGAGATAACTGAGCTTCTAACTGGAAAGAATATGATTGAATGAATGTCTGAATCTCTCAGATGTCTTAGGGGTGGGGGAGAGGTAGAAAAGGGGAGAAAGTAAAGGCCGTTTGATTTAAAAGCAGGTGGGGACACGGGACCCTGCTGGGTTCAGAACAGGAAGGAGGTCCGTAGTCACACATAATAAGATGTTAAAAGTAAATCAAGGGAACTGGACATAATAGTGGACATTGTCTTATCTATGGAACACAGGAAGGGTCAGGCAGACACGTGGCATGGACTCAGCAGGGTCAGCAGGGGCTGCTCAGCATACTAAACTTTAGAACCAGTTAGATTCTTGGTTCTAAACTTTAGATTCCAGGAACTAGGAATGAGGTTAAGTATTCTTTGTAATTTCCGTGTAAATCACTATATTTCCTTTTCTCCTAATTTTCTATGACATACACCTCTAAATTCCTGAGTCCTTTTTGATCTGAACCTGTCTGGTGAGACGAGGGGAGGGTAAGAAAGGGGAAGGAGAATTTTGGCTTGGGTTGGGGCAGAGGAAGGTGGAAAAGCGTGTAGTTCGCTATCCAACGCACAGCGGCGGCAGTGAGCATCATTGCTTTTAAGTAAGAATGGAAAAATGTATGCTGGAGGATTTGGGTAATTGGCAAAGAAATACAAAAACAAAAGGGAGACAATCTGGGTAATTACTAGGTCAAAGAATGAATATTTTTAAAGCTCTAGGTACATTTGCTATATTACTTTCCAGAAAAGTTTTTATCAGTTCATGTAACTACCGACAATATATGGATACCTATATTATTGTGTCCTCCTAGCACTCAGTATTTCAAGATAACTTTTGTTTAATTTTTTTCTGATTATGTGATCATTTCAGAAACTACAGAAAATACAAAATTTTGTATAAAGAAAATAAGTTATCCATCATTTATTCACCCAGGAATGGAGAGTGATGTATACACATTTACATATAAATATACATAAACATTTTTAAGAGCATCAGGGTCATTATATATATATATTTCATGGTATCACTGCTATTGCTGTCACATGATTTATTCATGCTCTAATTTGTGGAAATGTAAGTTTTTAAGGTTTTTCTATTTTAAGTAATGCTTCCATAAACATCTGTGCATATAAATCTTTGTATCTTTGATAATACACTTATGCTAATACTGGGACAGAGGGCATGGACATTTTTAAAACTTTTAATGCATATTGACAAATTCCCTCTAGATAGATTGTATTTGTTTACACTGTAGTTAGCAGTGGGTTAGACTGTAGCTTTATGGTATCTTTGCCAACATTGAATACTATTATAACAGTTGTCGTTAGTTGCCATTAAGTTGATTCCAACTCGTGACCCCATTAGATAATATACAACAAATCTGGAAACCTTGCAGTTGAAATGATACTTTTTCTTCTTTATTGAAAATTTTAATGTTTCTTGGCTGTTTGTGTTTTGCCTTGTGAGTCATTGCTTCATATCCTATATAAATCAGTATGATGTTTTTCTTATTGATTTGTAAAGATTCTTTATATAAGGTGTCTTAGTTTGCTAGTGCTCCTATAACAAAAGATACCACCAGTGGGTGGCTTTAAAGAACAGAAGTTTATTTTCTCACAGTTCTGGAGGCTAAAAATCTGAATTCAGGGCATCAGATCCAGGGGAAGGTCCTTTGTTTCTTTCAGCTTCTTGTAGCTGCTAGCAGTTCTTGGTGTTCCTGGGCTTGTACAGTCGTTTGCCCCTGTCTTCACATGTCTTCTTTCCCCTGTGTGCCTCTGTTTATTTCTGCTCTTTTTTAAAGACACTACTCAGAAGGGATTAGGTTTAGGACCTACTTTACTCTGGTATGAGCTCATTAATATAACAAAGAAAACCCCTATTTCCAAACAAGGGTCATATTTCAAGGTAGAGGGGTTATGACTTAACATAACTTTTTTTGGGAAACAATTCAATCTGTAACATAAGGATATTAATAATTGTATCTTGCAAACACACAATCTCATATTATTTGGTTTAATTTTAAATGTTTTTTTTATATGCACAGATTTAAATTTTTAGCAGCTTAAATTTTTGCATTTTTTTCTTTGCAACTTTGTGTTGCTTTTAAGAATAAAATCCGTCCCACTTCCAAGACTAATAAATCCAAACCAAACCCATTGGCATCAAGTAAATTCTGACTCATAGCGACTCTTTAGGACAGAGTAGAACTGCCCTGTAGAGTTTCCAAGGAGTGGCTGGTGGATGCGAAACTGCTGGCCTTTTGGTTAGCAGCCAAGCTCTTAACCACTGTGCCACCAGGGCTCCAGACTAATACATAATGATTCATATTACCTGATATGTTTTTGTAGTCCTTGTTACCTATAGGAGTCTCTGGGGGGTGAAAACAGTTAACACACTTGGCTGCTAACCAAAAGGTTAGAAGTTCCAGTCTGTCCATAGGTACCTCAGAAGAAAGGTCTGGAGATCTACTTCCAAAAAATCAGCCATTGAAAACTCTATGGAGCACAGCTCTACTCTGACATACATGGGGTTGCCATGAGTCAGGGTCGACAGCAACTGGTGCTTTTTTTGTTACCTCTAACTTGTTTAAGCTCAGTGTCATCAGTCAGAACAAGGCCAGGGGCCAACTGCAGAACATACCACCAGTTGCTGATATGCAAGTTCAAGTTGAAGCTGAAGAAAATTAGAATGAGTTCAGAAAAGCCAAAGTACAACGTTGAGTATATCCCACCTGAATTTAGGCCATCTCAAAAATAGATTTGATGCATTGAACAGTAATGACCAAAGACCAGATGAGTTGGGGAATGACATCAAGGACATCATACATGAAGAAAGCAAGAGGTCATTAAAAAGATGGGAAAGAAAGAAAAGACCAAAATGGATGTCAGAAGATACTCTGAAACTTGCTCTTGAACACTGAGTAGCTAAAGCAAACAGAAGAAGCGTTGAAGTAAAATTGCTGAACAGCATATTTCAAAGGGCGGCTCGAGAAGACAAAGTAAAGTATTACAATGACATGTGCAAAGACCTGGAGTTAGGAAACCAAAAGGGAAGAACATGCTCAGCATTTCTCAAGCTGAAAGAACTGAAGAAAAAATTCAAGCCTCAGGTTGTTAACAGTGAAGGATTCTATGGGCAAAATACTGAACAACGCAGGAAGCTTTAAAAGAAGATGGAAGGAATACACAGAACGACTGTACCAAAAAGAATTAGTCAACATACAACCATTTAGTCAACATACAACCATTTCATGATCAAGAACCAATTGTACTGAAGAAAAAAGTCCAAGCTGCACTGGAGGCATTGGCAAAAACCAGGTCTCCAGGAATTGACGGAATACCAACTGAGATGTTTCAAAAAACAGATGCAGCGCTGGAAGTGCTGACTCGTCTATGCCAAGAAGACAGCTACCTGGCCAGCCAACTGGAAGAGATCAATATTTATGTCTATTCCCAAGAAAGGTGATCCAACCAAATGCGGAAATTATCAAACAATATCATTAATATCACATGCAAGTAAAATTTTGCTGATGATCATTCAAAGCGGTTGCAGCAGTACATCGACGGAACTTCCAGAAATTCAAGCAGGATTCCAAAGAGGACGTGGAAAGAGGGATATCATTCCTGATGTCAGATGGATCCTGGCTGAAAGCGGAGAATACCAGAAAGATGTTTACTTGTGTTTTATTGACTATGCAAAGATATTCGACTATGTAGACCATAACAAATTATAGATAACATTGTGAAGATTTAGAATTCCAGAACAGTCAATTGTGTTCATGAGGAACCTGTAGATAGATCAAGAGATAGTCGTTTGAACAGAACAAGGCGATGCTGCGTGGTTTAAAGTCCGGAAAGGTGTGCTTCAGGGTTGTATCCTTTCACTATGCTTATTCAGTCTGTATGCTAAGCAAATAACCCACGAAGCTAGACTATATGAAGAAGAATGGGGCATCAAGATTGGAGGAAGACTCATTAACAGCCTTTGATACGCAAATATACAACCTTGCTTGCTGAAAGTGAAGAGAACTTGAAGTACTTACTGATGAAGCTCAAAGACTACAACCTTTAGTATGGATTACACTGCAACGTAAAGAAAACAAAAATCCTCACAACTGAACCAAAAAGCAACATCATGATAAACGGAGAAAAGATTAAAGTTGTCAAGGATTTCATTTTATTTGGATCCATAATCAACACCCTTGGAAGCAGCAGTCAAGAAATCAAAGGATACATTGCATTGGGAAATCTGCTGCAAAAGACCACTTTGAAGTGTTAAAAAAAGCAAAGATGTCACTTTAAGGGCTGAGGTGTGCCTCACCCAAGCTGTGGTGTTTTCAGTCACTTCATATGCATGTGAAAGCTGGGCAATGAATAAAGAAGACTGAGGAAGAATTGACACCTTTCAATTATGGTGTTGG